TGCATAGGGTCGCTATGAGTCGCAAACGACTCAACGGCACATAACAACAACAACAACTCCTTTCAAGTGAATACCAATTTATGGTGGTTCTGCTGAACACAGAGAAACTGCTCTACGGGGTTTCCAAAGTTACAAATTTCTACAGAAACAGACTGTTACATCTTTTGCCTTCCGAGCAGCTCCACAACAACGTACTGCCATCAAGTGACAATCAACTCTTGGGTAACCCTCCACTGAATTTCTGAGGCTGTAAACTGCATGGGAAGAGATTCCTCATTTTCCCCCCACAGAGCTACTGGCGGATTCCAACCATCAAGAGGCTCAGACTTTGGATTAACAGTGCTTATGGACGATACTACCAGAGCTTCCTATAGAGCAGCAGGTGGTGAGTTAGAATTGCCAAGCTTTGGGTGAGCAGCCACACTTTAACCACAGTGCCACAGGCTGCTTCAATTTAGCTGTACTCATCCACTGCCGTTGAGTTGATTTTGATTAACAGTAACCTTACAGGACACAATAGGACTGCCCCATTGAGTTTGGAAACAGGCTGCTACATCATCCTCTCACAGAAAGGCTGGTGTCCAAACTTGAGGTTAGCAGGCAAAGATCTGAACAACTAAGCATTCTTAATTTAACAATATGTATCAAAAAATCTTCATAAACTGTGACTCATTTATAGGGGTTTACCCTAGAATAGAACTCAGAATAGTCTATAGTAAGTTCTTTCAAACCCTTTATCTCAATTTGTAAATATAAGTTGTTGTTATGTGTCATCAAGTCACCTACAATTCATAGCAACCCTATGTACAACAGCTCTGAACCCTGCCTTGTCCTGAGCCAGTCTCAATGACTATGACACACCTACCCACCCCTTACCCCTGTCACTGTGTCAATTCATCTCATCCGAGGTCTTCGTCTCCTGCGTTGTCCGTTCACCCTTCCAAGAATTATGTCCTTCTCCAAGGACTGGTCCTTCCTGGCTACGTGCCCAAAGTTTGTGAGACATAGCTTCAAAATCCTTGCCTCCAAGGAGAACAACTGTTTTCATCCTCTCCAAGACAAACCTGTTTGTTCTCTTGATGTTCCATAGTATGTTCAATACTCTTCTCCAGCACCACAATTCAAAGGCATCTATTCTTCTTCCATCATCCTTAGTCATTGCCCAGCTCTCTGATGCATAGCAAATAACTGAAGACCATGGTCTGGATCAGGCACAGTTTAGTCCCTAGACTGACATCATTATTCTTCAGCACTTTGGAGAGGTTCCTGACAGCAAACTTCCCCAATGCATTGTCTTCTGATTTCCAAGACAAGAGTGTTGACTGTGGAGCCAAACGAGCTAAAATTGTCAACAACCTCAATCTCTTCTTCATCTATCAGGGTGCTGCAAATTGGCCCAGTGGTGAGAATCTTTGTCTTCTTGACGCTGAGCTTCAATCCACACTGCAGACTACAGTCCTTGACCTTCTGCAGCAAACACTTCAGGTCTTTCTCAGTTTCAGCAAGCAAGATTGTGTCATTTACATAACACAGGTTATTGGTAAGTCTTCCTCCAATCCAGATGCCACATTTCTCCTCATAATGTCCAGCCGCCCAAATGATCTGTTCCGCATACACATTGAAAAGGTATGGAGACAGGACACATCCCTGACACACTCCTTTCCTGATTTTGAATCATGCAGTGTCTCCTTGCTCTGTTCTGATCACTGCTTCCTGGTCCAAGTCTAGGTTACAAAAAGCATAATCAAATGTTCTGGGAATCTCATTCTTCTTAAGGTTTGCCCCAATTTAATATGATCCACACAAAGCCTTTGCATAGTCAATAAAACACAGACATTCCTCTGGCTATATATAGTTATCTAACTACTATAACTAGGTGACCCTAGAGGTTTTAAGATGATATAAATATTATTATTACCTGATTCACTATTATGGTACTTGAATTCAGACTAGAGAAGTATTCAACAAATATTTGCTGAACAAGAGAATGAATGGAGAAATGAAGCAATTAACTTGCAAAACACAGGCCTTTTTGGAAGTGAGAATAATACTGTCTCATGCTGCAGTCTTCATATAGTCTAGCTCTGCAGATTATTATACAGCAGAAGGATTGGTTCTAATTAAGAACCTCCAAAATGCAGGTGACAGAATTTTGCTTATTGAAAGTGATGATTATTTGAAGCACTTACCAATGAAGATCAAAGACTACAGCTTTCACTACAGGTTACACTTCAACATAAAAAAAATATGCTTACAACTGAATCAATAAGTAATATCATGGGGTGGGGGGGAAGGAAGAAAGAAAGCTGTCAAGGATTTCATTTTACTTTGATCCAAAACCAACACCCAGGGAAACTGCAGTCAAGAAATCAAATAATGCATTACACTTGGCAAGTTTTCTGCGAAAAAACAACTCTGTAAAGTGTAACAAAGCAAAAATGTCACTTTTAAAATTAAGGGGGGGAATTGTATACCAATGAAAAGAATTTTTCTTTTACTTTTCAAAGAGAAGGGAGAACTAGGCGGGGAGGGGTGGGCAGGGAGAAAAATGCAACAACGAATGGAAATGAAACAAAGCAACAATAAATGGAAATCCAAAGTCTCTGTAAATATTCATTAAAATTAATAAAATAAAATTTAAAAAATTGGGAAAAAAATTAAGGTGGAGCAGGGGACACAGGGAGGATAATGTGCAACAATTAATGACTGGAAATCCAAAATCTCTGTAAATGTTCATTAAAATCTAAAATATATATATATATATATATATATATATATAATGTATAAATTAAACTGCACCTGACCCAAGCCATGGTATTTTGAATCACCTGATATGCATGCAAGAGCTGGAAAATCGACGAGGACTAAAGAAGCATTAGGGTGTTGGTGGAAGACTACTGAACAAATATGTCTTCGCAAAAGTACAGCCGATTGCCTCTCAGATGCAAGGATGGCCAAACTCGCTTCAGTTTGGATCTGTTATCAGGTCAGGCCAGTCCCTAGGGGAAGGTATCACGCTTGGCAAAAAACAGAGGGTTAGTGGGGGTTGAGGGAAGAAGACCCTCAAGATGAACTGACACAGTAAATGCAACACAGCAATGGTAAGGATAGCACAGGACTGGTCATCGTTTATTCTGTTGTACATTGCGTCTTTATGAATTGCACATCACAAATAAAAATAGATTGTAAATATATATATATACTGTTCAACCTGTCTGCCCACGCAAAATGACAACGCTTTCCAAACACGTTATTTTGAAGACGGTCCACTGCCTAAAGTAAATGCTGCCAATTGTCCAAAACTTATTTTAATTGCCCAGAGGAAAAAATGCTGGGCGCCCTTAACAGATGCCTGCAGTCTCGCCTGGGACTTTGACAGGACCTTCCAGGATCGTGAGAGGCACCAGTCTGCAGTGTCTTACAGGAGCGAAGGGACACGCACGGCGCGGGGTGCAAGGCTGTGTACACGGGCTCCCTGACACTGACGCCGGCTTAGGTGGGAAAAGCCCAAAGTGACAGGGAAAGAATGGGCGTTTATTCAAAAATATATGTTCCGACGTGGCGCTGACAGATCTAATGGGGGACTCCGTGCATTTCTCATCCTCTGTGTGTTGAACCGCGCCACCGAGCAGCTCGGGTCAGCCTGCTGCAAAGGGACGCCATGGGGGGTTTAATAAAGGATTTCCGAACGCGCGCCAACGGCCCCGAATGGCGTCGCCCAGCCCGGGGCGCCCCGGCTGCGGGAGGCAGCACTTACCCGTCGGGCGAGTACTCGAGGTTGAAGACGGCGCCGTGGGTCTGCGTGCCGAGGTACACCGAGTCGGCGGGGTGGATGGAGCCGTAGAGGTGGGTCATGGTGCGGAAATTGTCCCGCGCCGGGTCCACGAACAGCCCGCGGCCCAGGCTGCGCTCTCGCAGCCACCCGAACAGCCGGGCCCCGGGGCCGCTCAGGCCCGCGATCCAGCCTCGCCGGCTCCGGCTCCCGGCCCTGCAGTCCGACCCGGGACGCCGCCGCGGCGGTGACGGCGGTGACAGCTCCCCCCGGGCAGCGGCGGCAGCGGCCGAGGGCTTCGGAGCTCCGGGAGGCTCGAGCTCGCCGGCTGGCACGTCCAGGGGCGACGAGGGGGCATCGGGGCGGCGACGGCTCCTGGCCGGCGACGAGGAAAGGGCGGCGGCAGCCCCCGGAGGGCTTGGTGGCGGCGCGGCGTCTGCCGCCTGGTCCCCGTGGAACGCCAGCTCTTCAGTCCCGGCTCCGGCCGCCTCGTTCTCGCTGGGGCTGCAGGGCGCGGAGCGAAACATGACCAACGCCCCCGCCCCCTGCTCACCGCCGCTGCCCCGCCAGCCGACACCGCGGTGCTCCCCCTGCAGCCGCTACTTCCGGCGTGCGGAGACCTAATCTCGCCGACTAGGAAACTCGCGCCGCCCCTCGGCCACCGCCCGCGGGGGACCGGGAAAGGGAGAACACCGCGTGGTTTTGGGGTGCAGCCGTGCGGGTCTTTGTAAGTGTCTGTTAGAGGCAGTCTTGATCGCCACAGGCCATAGGTGTGCGGAAGTAAAGAGGTTCCGAGTCCAGGTTGTCTGGGGCGGTGTTAGCTTCTGGGCACAGCATTCGCCTTAGGTTGTGTGTCTAACTCCGAGGCGAGCCTGACTCGTCAGTCCCTTGAGGCTGCTTAAGATGATGTCCTCTCGTCTCCACTGCACACCAACAGCGAGAGGAAGGTACTGTAGACAGGTCCTACATAGTGGCATAGTCTACGGCCACATAATCAACCAAGGAGTTACACTCAGATTGAGGATTTTTGCACTAAAGAAGCCTTGGCTTATACAGAGCCTAGACTATGCGGTGCCTCTGAATTGTGGCGTTGGGAAAGAATATTAAGTGTGCCATTGACAACCAGGAAAAGGACCAAATCTGTTGTGTTGCTTTGAAAGACAGATATGCTTCTTAGAAGTGTCTTAGGTGCCTTGAGCCTGCTATCAGGAAGCCCCAGCCATAGTATAAGGACATCATACTTGGTAAAATAGTGCCTACAACAATGGGCTCGAATAAGCCCTGGTAGGTTTTCCTTCTGTTGCATACAGGGACAATCTGATTTGGAACTGACTGGACAGTTCCTGACAACAGCATGAACTGGCTGGACAGCTCCTAACAACATTTGGTATCTTAAGTATCTTATCTAACTCCCAGCTCTTATCTAGCACTTTTATCAAAGCTTTCCTGGCCTTACATATCCAGCTAAGAATCAGTGATGTGGAACTTAAGAACTGAAATTCAATCTCAAAGAAGAACTCAGTCTGCTTATTAGGTCTAATATGAAGGATTTCCAACAGGCAAGAAAGCAATTAAAAGAGAAAAGAAGGGGAATAGTTTTGAGGAAAACTTTCAAGTTTAAATCCTTTGTTATAGTTTGCCTGCAATCTATAGGTGAGTGTTACTTCCTTTTCTTAGCATGTTAACAAGAAAACTCCTTATCACTGGACCAATGAGCAACATCATGATAAATGGAGAAGAAATTAAAGTTGTCAAGGATTTCCTTTTGCTTGAATCCTCAATCAACATCCTTGATACCAATGGTCAAGAAATCAAAAGTCATGTTTCATTGGGGAAATCTGTTGTCAAGGACCTCTCCAAAGTGCACCAAGGCCACTTGAAAGACTAAGGAGCAGCTGATCCAAATCACAATCTTTTTCAGTTTCTTGCTATGCATGTGAAAGTTGGGCAGTGACTAAGGAAGACAGAAGAAGAATTGATGCTTTTAAGTTATGTTGGAGAAGAGTACTGAATATACCAAGGGCTGCCAGGAGAACAAATATAACTTGGAGAAAGTGCAACCAGGGTGCTCCTTAGAGGCAAAGTCTGTGAAACTTCGTCTTTGGGCATGTTGTTAGGAGAGGCCAGCTTTTTTTGGGGGGGAAAATGATACTTAGAAAGGTGGAGAGTCAGTAAAAGACAGAAAGACCCTCAACAAGATGGATTGATACAATGATGGCATCAATGGGCTCAGGTATATTAGAGGTGATGAAAACAAGCTTTAGATCCATTATTTATAGGATTGTTATGACTTGTAGAGTCACATGCTTCGGACATTTTCCTAGGAGAGGCTATTCACTGGAGAGGGACATGATGCTCAGAAAGGCAGAAGGTCAGCAGAGGAAGACCCTCAACCAGGTAGACTGACACGCTGACTGCCACAAAGGCCTCTAGTGTGTCAGGAAGGGTGAGAATGGCACAGGTTGGCCAGGGTTCACATCTGTTGTTCCAAGGGTTACTATGAAAATACTCTTCAATGACACCTAACAACAACATGAGTTATAGAAGACTCAATGGCACAGCAAGACCTTCTGACCTTTTATCAAGAATGATCTTTTCAAAGAGTGAAAAGGAAAAGTTTGTTTTAAACTAGGTTACTGCTATGGAAACGCAAAGTCTCTGTAAATTTTTACTGAAATTAATAATAAATTTAAGGGGAAAAAGAGAAAGTGGGAAATTTTACCAACTCATCCGGATAATTTTGCAAATAAAATAGTGGAATCGTGAAGGAAAAAAATAAAACACCAAAAACAACAAACTAGGTTACTGCTAGGTTTGCAGAGACTTTGTTATAGCCCATCTACTTTCCCTTCTTACGTGACGTGCTTAATTAAACACTCTCCTTTGAGATGGTTCAGGAAAGCTAGCATTCAGCTGTTTCAAGGATACTAAGACCCAAGAACACAACCTAAATGAGTCGGCTAAGGCATCTCCAGGTGTTCCCTCTTAACCACCTCTAACTCAGCTAAGAAATTGCAGGTGCCATAAGAGTGATTCCTGCCCCCCTAGACGTAGAGAGCAGCCGTCTTCAGGGCTCGATGATAACCCAGCACCTCGTCTGCAGACAGCCATCTTTAAAGCCACGTGCACAGGCTGTCCTATTGTGCGTACTGGCAGCCATCATTTGCTCAGACTCCTACAGGACGCAGAAAGTACTTCTCATGGCAACCATAGTGAAATAACGATGGTGTGTACGCTTCATAAAGCCCAATTCCTCCACAGGGGGCAAATGCAAAAGACCCAACCTTTCATGAATAAACATGAATATCTTTTCCTTTTAATAGTGTAACTCTCAAAACCCATCCCTCTTCATCAATAAACATACATACCTTTTCCCCTGCCTTCAGAACCTTTTTTGTTCACTGTTGATATTTTTTTTTTATTTACATATTTTTTTCCTAGTTTAGAGACTTTGGATTTCCATTCATTCATTGTTGCACTTTTCTCCCTGCCTAGCCCTCCCCTCAAATTCGCTCTTTTCTTTTGAAAAGTAAAAGAAAAATTCTTTCATTGTTATATTCCTTCCCTTTAAGTCCACTCCACTATGCAGCCTTCATTCTGGACTCCTGTCATGACAAAAATACCTAATCACATATCCCTTTTAAACAGTTCTCTCCCTCATCTGTTTCAATGTAGTATACATTATTTACCTCCTCTTTCTCAGTCTCCCCTCAATTCCGATGTTAGTCCCATTTTATAACAGTGGCCCTATGCAATATTTGTCCTTTTGTGACTGAGATATTTCACTCAGCATAATGTCTTCCAGGGTCACCCATTTTGTATATTTCCTGAGTTCCTTGTTTTTTTAATGCATCATAGTATTCTATTGTGTGAATATACCACACTTGGGTTGTTTCCAACTTTTTGCTATTGTGAAAAAAGCCACAATAAACACCGGTGTGCATATATCTGCTTGGGTGGCGGTTACGGTTTCTTTAGGGTATATTCCCAGTAGTGAAATTGCTGAGTCAAATGGTATTGTATTTCTATTTGCAACTTTTTGAGAAAGTGCCACACAGCCTTCCATAGTGGTTGTACCATTTTACACTCCCACCAGCAGTGAATAAGGGTTCCAGTTTCTCTACAACCTTGCCAGCATTTGATGTTTACTGTTCTGTTAAATTTTGCTATTCTTACTCGGGTGAGATGGTATCTCATAGTTGTTTTATGCCTTCAGGACTTTTAAAAGGACAACAAACTCATTTGTCCAAGTCATAGGCTAATACAAAGTTCTTTCTCTAGTAAATATCTTTCTCTGCAAAGAAAAGCCTAGACTTCTGTTTTACTATTCTTATCAAAAGGAAGAACTCCATTAAAAAAAAAAGATGGGAAAAAGGACAGTTTTATTAGAAAAGATAGGTCTCGGAAGATGAGATGGATCATTTATCCAGAGTTAAGGGGTGAAGAAAGATCAAGAACTCAAATTTAAGGAGTGGAATGGAGACAATTTCTTGGAACCCATATTTAGATAATAGTCCAGCCCTAGGACATGAAAGGCATGACAGATGCAAAGAACTGAACTTGTGGTGTTTGGATAAGTAGATAGCATTAGAATTATATAAATTTTATTGAAATGACATGCTTTTACAACTCATTAGAGAAAATGACAAAGGAAATTAACAGAGAAGGCACTAAGGATAGATTATGTTTAAGTAAGCATGTGGTTGTTAAACATGCAAAAGCATTTTTGTGGATCACAACAAACTGTGGCTAACACTGAGAAGAATGGGGATCCCAGAACACTTGATTGTGCTCATATGAAACCTATACTTGGACCAAGAAGCAATCATCAGAACAGAGCAAGGAAACACTGCATAGTACAAAATCAGGAAAAGAGTGTGCCAGGGATACACTCCTTTTCAGTCTACATGCAGAACTGATCATTCTGGAGGCTGGGCTATATGAGGAGGAATGTGACATCAGGATTAGAAGAAGACACATCAACAACCTACATTATGCAGATGACACAACCTTGGGTGCCGAAACTGAGAAGTACCTAATGTGTTAGCTGCAGAAAGTCAAGGTCTGTAGACTTCAATATGGATTGAAGCTCAACATCAAGAAGACAAAGAGTCTCACCACTGGGCCAACTGGCAGTGCCATGATTGATAGAGAAGAGATTAAGATTTGTTAACAATTTCAGTTTACTTGGTTCCACAATCTTGACACCAGCAGTCAGGAAATTAAAAGACAAATTGCACTGGGAAAATCTGCTGTCTGGGAACTCTCCAGAGTGCCAAAAAGCAATGATGTTAGTCTGGAGACTAAGGTGTGTCTGATCCAGGCCACAGTATTTGCAATTACTTGTTATACATCAGAGAGCTGGACAACGGCTAAG